GTTATTGACACTGCAGTTTCAGCAGCTACTGTGAGGTAATACATGTATATCGCAAATTCATTGACGAGCATTAAAAAGTACAAAAGGATTGGAATATACCTTCAAGTGGTGGTAAACTTCCACACCCATTTTCATGGCTTCCTTGAAAGAAGAAGCTCCAACAGGTAAGATCATAAACTCCTGCATGGCAAGCTTGTTTCCAGCATGAGATCCACCATTGATGACGTTGAAGGCAGGAACTGGCAGGACAATCTTTGGGTTTCCAGCAAGATTGGCAATGTGCTGCATCCAAATACCACGCAAAATGAACAGATTAGAACATTTAGTACCAGAAAAATCAAGTAGCCAAAGTAGCAACACTGTGCTCCTCCATGGCTAGAGGGAACCAATTTATTAATGCAAGATTGTTCTACCTTGTACAGAGGAATGCCGCTGACAACAGCCCCGGCTTTGCAGACTGCAAGAGACACAGCAAGAATAGCATTGGCTCCAAGCTGTACACAAATAGAAGAGGCAAGTTAGCGAGACTGTCTTTCATTCCAGATTGGAATACACAAGACATGAATAATTTCCCGTGAATTACCTTTTGCTTGCACCAACCCCACTCATTCTGGGTTCCATCAAGTTCATGGACCATGAAGTTGTCAATAGCTGTCTGCTGAGTTGGGTCCTGCAATAATTAATAACATGAATAAGTGTTTTGAACATTCTACTGCTGTTAGAAGAGAATAGATGCAGTGACAAATTTAATGTACTAAAAGCAGCTTAAAATGAGACTCACCTTTCCAATAAGTGCTGGGCCGATGATGTTGTTCACGTTGCCAACAGCCTAGTGAATACAACATAGAACAAAAAGATCCAATTCAGATGAACAGTTATTCCACTAAATACATAAAAGTTCTCATCGCAGTCTCAGTCTCACCTTAGAGACACCCTTTCCAAGGTAGTCTGATCCTCCATCCCTCAGCTCAAGAGCCTCGTAGATTCCTAACAACAGCAAAATCCCACAAATAAAGATTCAACCACACAATATTTACTAAACCCAACGACAAAAATAGGCCAGAACAGACAACAAATAGTAACTTACCAGTGGAAGCTCCACTTGGAACAGCTGCTGTAACCTTGACACCATTGGATGTGTGGATATCAACCTAAACCATTATCAGAGTAATCATCAGCAAAATGGAGATCGGACCACAGAAACATAACCAAATCGTGAAAACCAGATGAAATAAACAGATCCATCGCAAAAAATCATATAATCTCCATCATCGATAGCTCATCTCACGATCCAAACATAAGAACAAACACAAATCACGAGTTGTAATATCCGAGATATATAAAAAAAAAAAAAAACAGCGATCATCCCGCAAAAACGAAATCGCATCAAAGGTAAGCTCATAAACCATCACAGATTACATAAGAAATAGATTGAAGCATCAGATACGCATCAAACAAACAGATCCACCACGAATAAACAATGTACAGAGCCGGAAAAATGATCGGAGAAGAAACGAACCTCAACGGTGGGGTTACCACGGCTGTCGAAGATCTGCCTAGCCTTAACAACGGTGATAGTAGCCATAGCGAGTAGATCTAGAGAGAGAGAGATAAGGGCGATGTGTTCGAGGGTTTTAGTGAGAATCGCTTAACAGTGGTAGCTGAGGAGGAGGTTGAGTGGGTGGTCTGGTTCGATATATAAAGAAGTCACGGCTTAAGGCTAAGCCGTTGGATTGTTTTAATATCAACCGTTGGATCAGATGCAAGAAGGAAGAAGAAGCCAAAACGATGTGCTGCACGCCTTTTGCAGCATAGAAGAGGCTTTTTTTCTATTTTTCTATTTTTCTGCCTTTGCTCCTCGTCCAAGTAATACGTTTTTTTTTAAGAATTTAGAACAAGTAATAATCATATGCATCTAGATTTTTATTCCATTTTTTTCTTTTGTCAACATCAAGCTTTATAGCAAGTTTGAGTTTGGATGGTGATATATAGAAACAATGACTAGCAGAAAAGTTTACATTTTTTGCTTATAAGTTTTTCATTAAATTAAAACTTAATGGATTCAAGGTTTGTGGGTCAAAAACTTTGGGCCTTTCTTGATTATTTGATTATATGTCAAAATTTAATAAAGTCCAAGGGAGGTGAATATTCTTTTGGACTGTGAATATTCTTTTCGACTTTTAAACTCAGTAGTCAGTACGATGTGGATAGGTGATCTAATATTTTTTGCAATCTAGTTTGTTAATTTGCTAAGTTTTGTAAACTGATTCAGTTATGCTAAACTGTATGGGTTTCCATTATCTTATTATATAAATCTTGGTTTTTAAAGTCAGCCATTAACAAGATCGTAACATATGTCAATTATAAACGGTAAGATATTGACACGTGTCGTAACTACTTTTGTTAATATTTGGATAAAATAGAAATATTATTAACCCTATCGAAAAAGAAAATATATAAAATAAATATTATAAAGAATTATATATTAAAAATTATTAAGAAAATAAAACAAATAACCTAATTTCAGTTATGTCTATTTGGTTTATTAATAAGATAGGGATTTAAAATTTATAATTAACAAGAATATATGGCGGTTTTTGTTTACAAAAGAGGATTAAGGTTTAAACTTTAATTTTACAATTAAATCAGGTTATTTGTTGGTTTGTGTATATAAATGATAAATAAGAATTACAATTTATCTTTATAAATTAAAATCATGGTTTAAGTTTAACAATTAAACAAGATTATATGTCGCAACTTGGTTTTTAAATTTACTAACTCACGTGATCATGATAAGTGTCAAGTAAAAACATAAGATGTCGCAACATGTTATATCTACTTTTGTTAATATTAAGATACAAATAGAATTTCTAAACAACATTAAAAATAATTATAAAAAATTAAAGAGAATTTTTGAGAAATACCCCTTTTGGTGTACCCCTTTTCAAGAATACCCCTTTTGGTGTACCCATTTTCACGAATACCTCCTTTATCTATCCATTTTCAAAAATATCCATGTTTAAATATGAAAAAATATAAAGTTTATATGGTTTATAAGGTACTTCTATATAATAACTACTACTTGGAAATTTGATACAAATATTTTATAATGTTTTAAAAGGTTTTAAATCGTTTTTACAAGTTTTATAAGGTTTTTAAGTGGTTTTTAAAAGGGTTTTTAAAGGTTTTTAAAAGGTATTTATAAGTTATTTTACGCTATTTATGAAAGATATATAAGACTTTAAACATATATAAAGGTAATTTGTGTGTATATTTATAAGTTTACACACATATTTGGATAAATTTCAACATTTATAGTGGTTTTTTATAAAGTTTGAAATAGGGGTATTTAAAAAAATTGGTATGCAAAAAAGGTATTTTTGATAAATTAAAAAGTAAAAAAAAATCTATATTTATCCAAAAAAAATGTGTAAACCTTATATATTTAGACACAAATCTATGTGTGTAAATTTTAAATACCATATAAATACCTTAAAAATTATTTAGAAAACATATAAAAACTTTGTTAACCTTATAAATACCTTATAAAAGTCTTATAAATACCGTTTAGAACTTTTTTAAAACTTTATAAATATTTGTGTTGAGTCTCCCAATATTAATGATGATCTAGATGTACCTTATAAACTATATAAAAGTTTACAATTTTTCATATTTGAAAAGGGATATTTTTTAAATGGATAGAAAATTGGTGTATTTTTAAAAAGGGGTACATCAAAAAGGGTATTTCTCAAAAATTCTCTTTCAACTATTAACCTAATTTTTGGTTTTGCGAGTTGTAGGTTTTACAATTATAAGGGTTATATGTTGAGTTTATAAATGTCCATTATAGTTTAGATTTTATAATTAAACGAGATTATTTATCGGTTTGGGTTTATTAAAGAGGAGTGAGATTTATGTTTTACAATTAAACAAGGTTATTTCTCAGTTTGGGTTCATGATTTTTATTTTATAATATGTTATATTTGTTTAATTTTAATTTATGTATGAATGTATTATGCCATTGAGCAATTTCATTGTCAAAAACATAAGGGTGAATAAAATATTTTTGAAACTTAAATTAAAGATAACAAAGTTCAATATAAATCGTTAAGAAATAACAATTTTTACAAAATGGTATAAAATGGTATAATATCATGTTTTAGAGGATAATTGCTAAATTATGATTTTTTAAAATATTTTAGCAATATTATGAGTAATGGTGAATGGTTCCCAAATAGCTCCCAAATGTTTTGGTGATTGTCAGTTTGACAATTACTAGATTTTTATAATTAACGTTTAATAACGAATTTTAAGATATATATATATATATATACACGTTTATTTGATACTTAAAATTAAATAAAATCTCTTTCCAAATGAAATTAATTTTTCTTATTTTTTCAAAAAACAAATTTAGAAATTATTTTTTATAAGTTATAATAAATATTAATTTTAATTTAATTTTAAATAAAGATAACCCGTCCATCGGACGGATACTATACTAGTTTTATATACTTGTTAAATAAATTACATCTTCTTTGATTAAATGCTTTTCATATTTTTATATGGAAAAAAAAAAAGCAAACAAATTTCTTCTACAGTGAGAGAAAAAAAATACTACATATCACAAATTTTCCATAAGGCTTTTTTACAGTGACATTTCTTTTGTTAGCATAAAAATGAACGACTCTTAAACGAGAAATAAATCACTTCTTCATTTTATATTTAACAGGGGTGTTTTTAGTCTTGAACATTTAAATAGGAAAAAAAGTTTAAAAAAATAAAGCGTTGGAAATATGTATCGACACCCATGTATGACATTTGAAATTCTCTGATTGGTAGTTTAAAATCAATTTAGACTTCCAAGACTAGGAAAAGTGAAAAGTAAGAAAATACAAAAAAAGATTTGACAGTATCCATCCAAAAAGCCGCATGACGAATAAATAACGCCGCCAAGTACAGTAAATGGCTTTTATGATCTCGTGAAGCTAAATCGCCAACTCTACTATATATGCACCATATGAGTCTTTACTCGATCTAAAGGACATCAATGGCGGAAGAAAAGAGTAAGAAGAAGACCATCGTTGCATCCGACGGCGACAACGACGAACATGATGATGACTACTCATCATGTGACCAAGATCCTCAAGAGACGGACCTTAGTTGGATTCTTGACAAACTCAGTTTAGGAGAGAAGAAGGAGGAAAAGAAAAAACTGTTGGTCTTAAGTCTGAATGGTCTACTTCTACACCGTGTCCATAAAAAAGTTTCGCATTTAGCTCCCAAGAACCGTTCTCCTGATGCTTCATGTGGACCAAATCTTGGTAACATTTTCAATATTCATTTCCATGTTTATTTTTATAAATATTAAACTATAGCTTGATTGGGATTGTTTTGTGTTCTTGTTTAGTGTATAAGAGGCCATTTGCTGAAGAGTTTATGAAGTTTTGTCTTGAGCGATTCGAAGTTGGGATTTGGTCCTCTGCTTGCGAGTTAGTTTCAGATTAACTCTAAATAATTTTCAATTCTTTGAAGTAAGATAACGTTGATCTGATTCTTCATGGTATTTTGACTGATAGGAAAAATGTTGATATAATTCTAAACATTATTCTTGAAGACCTACAAGATAAGCTACTGTTCGTGTGGGTAAGACTCTTAAAACTATGTGTGTGTGTGTGTGTGTGTGTTTGTCTATATATACACTTTCGAATTCTCTTTTTAGTTATAGGATCAAGAAGAGTGCACGGACAGTGGATATAAAACACTAGAGAACAGCTACAAGCCTTTGTTCTTTAAGGATCTCTCTAAAGTGTTTCAATGCTTCAAAGGTTTCTCTGCCTCAAACACCATCTTCATCGAAGAAGAACCTTACAAAGCTCTTCTCAATCCTGTATAAATACATTTCTATCTCTATCCTATATATACCGTTGTTTATCAGTTTAGTTGTTATTCTTAATTTTGTTGTATTGATCTGTTGTGTTGTGCATGCAGGACAATACTGGTCTGTTCCCGTTGAGTTATGATCCGTCAGACGAAAAAGATGGCTTACTTGGTATGCAAACATCTTTAAACCCGTGATCTTCATCTCTTATCATTAAACATGCTTTTTTAATTATGCTTAGACTTTTCTTGATTATGTTTAGATCCGGAAGGAGACTTCTGCTCTTACTTGGATGGTCTGGCAAAATCATCGGATGTTCAGGCTTATATCAAAGAGCATTCTTTTGGACAGCCCAAGATCGATTCTTCTCATCCTGACTGGTCTTTCTACCGCAAAGTCGCAAAGATTGTCTCTTGATCTTTGCATATTTATCAGTTTTTTTTTTTTTTAAGTTTTCATATTCTCAATGTTTCCCTTCTTTTGACTTACTACTAAAGACGTGAACAAAGTCTTATTTCAATTCTAAGAATAAAGTTGGATCACTTCTTTTTCATCATTTGTCATGCATGCTCTCAAGTGTTTGAATTTTTTTTTTTAAAGGTATACGGTTTGTTTAGGGAATGATAAGCAATGTGAATGAAAAAGTTTAATTTTCTCAATTTGGATCGTAAATTAAGAAACCAATGTGCTGGATGTTTAATAATACAAAAGGAGAGATAACATCGAGACTTCAACAATGAAGTCCCAGGAACATGAAAATGATAGCATTCTATTTTCCTTCGCTCCTTGTCCAAGTCATGCGACTAGTTTAAAAAATTTAAGACTTTAGAAGAAGTTTTAATATTATACGGATCTACTGAATATCTTAATGGGCGGACCACGTTATGGTTAGTGGTGGCAGCTGGCACCGGTAAACTACAAAATGTTAAAGTAGTGTAATGGTTAGTGACTAATATAAATTCATCATATGAGTATTGACTATCATATTATGCACAACAATGGCGGAAGAAAAGAATAAGAAGAGCATCATTGCTTCGGTCGACAGCGATGATGAGTCCTCAGGTGATACAATTTCAGAGCAGGCAGAACTTAGTTCGATTCTTGATAAACTTAGCTTAGAACCCAAGAAGGAGAAAAAGAAACTCTTGGTCTTATGTCTGAGTGGTCTTCTTCTACATCGTGTCCACAAAAATGACATGCGTAAAAATCCTAAGAACCGCTCTCCTGATGCCTCTTGTGGTCCAAATCTTGGTAACCTTCTTTCAATATCATTTGATAGATTTCTATTTTCTTTTTTCATATAGTTAGCCTAATTACGTTTTTTGTTGTTTAGTGTACAAGAGGCCATTTGCAGAAGAGTTTATGAAGTTTTGTCTTGAGAGATTCAAAGTTGGGATTTGGTCCTCTGCTTGCGAGTTTAGTCTCTTCATTTTCCATATTTATAAATACTGACTACATTATAATCTGAATTCTTTAAGCTTTGGTAATACGTTGGCATGATTCTTCGTTTGTTTTGGCTGATAGGAAAAACGTTGATATAGTTCTAAGCATTATTCTCGAAAATTTGGAAGACAAGCTCTTGTTTGTGTGGGTAAGATCACTTGTGTATTTAGATTTATAAAGTGACCACATTTATACATACACATTGGTTAAGTGCACTCTTTGATACTTTGTTTTAGGACCAAAAAGAGTGTACCAACAGTGGATTTAAGACACTAGAGAACAGTGAGAAGCCTATATTCTTTAAAGATCTCTCCAAAGTGTTTCAGTGCTTCAACGGCTTTTCTTCTTCAAACACCATCTTCATTGATGATGAGCCCTACAAAGCTCTTCTGAATCCGGTAAAATATTTCAAATAATGATGTTTATTGATCACTTTAATCAGTTTTTTTTTTTTTTTGGTAATTAATCAGTTCAGTTCTTGTTTTAACTTTAATTGATCTTGTTGTGCATGTAGGACAATACCGGTCTGTTCCCATTGAGTTATGATTCTTCTGACAAAAAGGATAATTTACTTGGTATGCACAGTTTTAAACTTTGTGATGTTCATCTCTTCTCAGTAGACATGCTCTTTAGTTATGGTTGGGCTGTTCTTAATTGATTATGGATATATATGTGACAGATCCAGAAGGAGGGTTCTGCTCTTACTTGGATGGTCTGGCCAAATCTTCGGACGTTCAAGCTTACATAAAAGAGCATTCTTTTGGACAGCCCAAGATCGATTCTTCTCATTCTGACTGGTCTTTCTACCGCAAAATCGCAAATATTGTCTCTTAATCTTTGCATGTATATCAGTTTTTCCAAGTTTTCGTTTTGTCAATAATTCTCTTCTATTGGCTTACTATTGAAGACAATAAAAAGTCTACCCATTGCAGTTTTAATAATAAAGTTGGATCACTTCTGTTTCATCATTTGTTAAATCCTCTGAAGTGATAAAATTATTTAGCAAGGTATATGATTTGTTTAGTCAAAGAGAAGCAATGTGAACGAAAAAAAAAAACAAAAAATCTCCATTGGATTGTAAAGAAACCAATATGATAGATGTTTAAAAATATAAAAGGAGAGATAAAATAGAGTCTTCAACCATATAGTCTCAGGAACATGAAAATGATGGCAAAGGTCCTCAAGTTACTTTGAACCTTGGAAGTCTTAGTTCAATATAAAAAGTTTCTGACGAGCTTACTTCTAGTTGTGCCACCCTAGAGTCAGAATAGGGCCTTCCATTTCTGGCTGTGTAACTTCTCCTGTGGAGGAGGATGCCGAGGCGCTTGGAACAACCACAGCTCGAGAGTCATCGTTCCTCGTATGAGAGGTAGATGGGCCTATTATCTCTGGTTGTTGCACTTGTCCTCTGAGCGAGATAGCCAGCTCGCTTGGTGTTGTACATCCAACAGTCGCACCTTGGGACGGCTCGTTCATTGTTAGGGAGAGATGAGAGCCAATCTCTGGTTGTTGAACTTGTACCTTCAATGAGAAAGCCAATGAGTTTGGTACTCTGGCTGAAACATTCATAGTTTGGAACTCATCAGTCCTCATATGAGAGTGAGAAGATCCACTCATGTCATGGTGTGGGACTTCTCTTGTGAATGACACTGTGCTTGGTACTATAGGTGATGCACCAGTTACAGCTCTGGACTTATTAATCTTCTCCTGAGGCTGAGAAGGGCTGGCCATCATATCTGGTTGTTGGACTTTTCCTTTGGATGAGGAATGCGATGAATTTTGCATCTCCGGTGCAACGACCTCCTCGTTAGGATCACCGTATCTTCTCTGAGGCGGATTTGTGACCAACGGCCAGAAACTTCCAACCACAACCTGCATAAACGAATCATATATACATAAGATAGTTTCAAACATTGAGCGTAACCATGCAGAAACAAAGAAGATGCTTTATGTTCTTACTTGGACTTGACTTGCTGCAATGAGTCTACCAACCAAAACACCACTAAAGACGACACCTGCCGCAGCAATCCTAATCCGCCACCCTCCCGTCTGATTATACACTGATCCGCCATCAGATGTCGTCATCGAACTGCTCAGCGATACTAAATCGTACGTAGCCTACACACCAAAATGTTATCATAACGTATCCAAATGGATGGTTTACAATTTGAAACACCAACATGAAAGTTATGACAACTTATTAATCTCCATGGACCAATTATTCTAAAGCATATTTCCAAGATGAACCTATAAGATTCCAAGATTAGACTGCAAGACCAAGTTCATCATATATATACCTCATGCGTCACAACTTTGCGGGCGCTATCAAGCGTTTGAATCTTGACGTTAGTAACCCAACCATTTGCGGATAGCACAACTACTCCGCGAGCACCATTCTCCGTGAAGGACATAATCCTTTGAATTATATCCTGTAAAAAAAGACCGTAATTATAAAAGATATTAAAAAAACCTCCAAACTTGAACACATACATATGTATATATACAAAGAGTCAAAAGACCAAAACTCTAGAAGCAAATAAACAAAGCTGTGACATATTAATGTTCATCTTCATCAGATGCAAAGTTGTATGTTATCCTCATGAACAGTCCCTAACCAAGGACATAAAATAACAATGTTACGTATACACGTTAACTTACGAAAGACAGCAAAAAGAAAATTTATTACCGTTATCTATATGTTGTAAAACCAAATAACAAAGATCGGATCTAACCAAACTTTACTCACGAATTTATTCATGATTCATTAAATTTAGCTCATATAGTTCAATATCACTTAATTAAATTTGCATATCTTCTATGTTTAGGAGAATCTAAAACCATAGTTCCAACTCATCAAAACCTCGAATCCAAAAACATCATTCAAAAATCTAAATATATTATAAAGAGGTTCAATTGTAGATTTTTAATTGGATTAAAACTAGATATGTAGTAACTATATACGGTGTGGAGAACTGAAGAGAAATGGTTTTAAACTTTGATTAAGGGATGGTATTAAAAATCTAAATATAAATTCACATCTTAGAAAACAAAAACCATTTTTTTTTTGTACAACAACAAATGGAACAAATAAATAGGTGTACATAAAGTATATACTAACTTACCTCTCCTGCTTCAACTCTGAAGATATACGGCGTGAAGTCCCCTCCTCCAGCAGTCACATACGACATGTCACCTTCAATCCAAAACAAAACATTCAAACCCATAAATCTGAACTCACAATATTTTCTCTATTGTTTTTCAATCGGACATGGTTTACTTCGGTTAATCTCCCTACAAATGATATGATATCATATGTAATAGAAGTGACAAATGCTAATTAACGCAAGAGTACTACAAGAGTTTGATTGAACGAACACTAGATTCATATTCTCTAATCGTTATGTTTATTTCCAACCACAAGAAGACATATCAGATTAGTTTTGTCCCATTCGCCGGTAAAGACACTCATATATATAGTTATCGTAACAACTCTATAGTTTTATATTGTAAGAGCCCAAAGCTTTACCTATAGTGTTTGGCAACGTCGACGTCGACCTATTCCTTTGTGTCCCTTGTTCATCGCGCTGGTAACCTTCACCTCTCACCCTCTTCGTGCTACCGGAACCATCCTCCATTGTGGCTGGAGCCGCTACGGCAGGCTGCGTGACCGGAGAGGGAGACATGCGCCTTGAGTTCGGGGTTGAGAAGGAGACGGTGTTCTCGTTTTGACCATCCATGATATTTGCTAGAGACTGAAAATGAGAGAGTCAATTCGAGAGAAGATAGAGATTATATTTTGTGATGTGAATGATATCCTTCCTTTGGGTCACTGTACCTATAAGGGAAAATATATTTGATAGTATGGACAATTTTTATTTTTACCTTTTCTCATTTGTTGCATGCATTTGCCAGTTTGCAAAAAAATTGTAAAACTTAAATGATTTATAAATAATATAAAACGAAAAAATTACAAAGTTTTTCTACATCTAAATAAAATTTAGTTTGTCTATACAGATAATAAACTTCATTTTTTACTTCTCTAAAATTATATTGGTATAATTAATTGAAATTAACTAATACTAAAATTGATACATTCCCTTAATTTAAATTATTATAGAACTTACATATATTTGGGTTATAACAACAAAATTGTGTTAAGATAACATATTTTAAATAAAAAATGGGATACAGCCAAATAGTTTTTAAGTAAAGACTTTTTATTTTAAAATATAAAAATTGTATGCAGTTTAATACTTTTTAATAAAGCTTATTATTTCAAACATTGATCGATCATACATTTTTTATACAATTATATCTGAATTACTATTCAAAAACATTATTTTGGCGGCAAGTTTTTTTTTACGAGTATTAAAGAAAGGTCCATAAGAACAACTTAAATACCAAAGTTAAAAGAGAAGTAGTTAATAACAATTTATATACTAAATATTAAAGAGAAGTCATTAAGAACGGTTTTGGATATACCAAAGTTAAATAAATGTCATTATAAACGGTTTAAATACATAAATTAAAGAGAAGTTGTTATAAACGGTTTACAACTGGTTGTGCCACCCTAGAGTCAGAATAGGGCTTGAAACTTCTGGCTGTGTAACTTGTCCCGTAGATGAGGAAGCAAGGGCGCTTGGAACAACCACTGCTTGAGAGTCATCCTTCCTCGTCTGATGAGAGTGGGATGGCTCTGGTTGTTGGACTTGTCCTCTGAACGAGAAAGCCAGCTCTCTTGGTGTTGTACGTCCAACAATCGCAGCTTGGGATGGATCATTGACTATCTGAGAAATATGAGGGCCTCTCATCTCTGGTTGTTGGACTTGTACCGTAAATGAGAAAGCCAATGAGTTTGGTACTCTGGCTGAAAAATTCACAGTTTGGAATTCATTGCTGCTCATCTGAGAGTGTGAAGAGCCACTCATGTCTGGTTGTCCGACTTGTCCTGTGAATGACAGTGTGCTTGGTACTGTAGGTCCACCAATCACAGTTTTAGACTTATCAACCCTCTCTTGAGACTGAGAAGGGCCGCTCATCATATGTGCTTGTTGGACTTGTCCAGATGATGAGGAAGGCAATGAATTTTGTCTCTCTGGTGGAACAACCACAACGTTTGGCTCATCATACCTTTTTTGAGGCGGATTTGGTACCAACGGCCAGAAACTTCCAACCACAACCTTCATAAATGAATCATATATAAGATAGTTTCAAACATGGAATTGAACCATATGCACAAACAAAGAAATTCTTTGTGATCTTACTTGGACTTGACTTGCTGCAATGAGTCTACCAACTAAAACACCACTAAAGATGCGACCACCAACCCCACCAATCGTTATCCGCCACCCTCCCGTCTGATTATTCACTGATCCACTCTCATATGCTGTCATTGAACTGCTCAGCGATACTAAATCGTACGCAGCCTACACACAAAAATGTTATCATAACGTATCCAAATGGATATGGTTTACATTTTGAAACACCAACATGCAAGTTATAAGAAAACTTATTAATCTCCATGGACCAATTATTCTAAAGCATCTTTCCAACATGAACCATTAAGTTATAAGATTCCAAGACCGAGTTCATCATATATATACCTTAAAGATCACGACTCGGCGGGTGCTATCGAGCGTTTGAATCTTGACGTTAGTAACCCAACCATTTGCGGATAGCACAGTTACTCCGCGAGCACCATTTTCCATGAAGGACATAATTCTTTCGATTATATCCTATAAAAACATGATCGTACAAGATTCATTAAAGTTAGCTCATATAGTTTAATATAGCTTAAGTAAATTTGGCATACCCTCTATGTTTAGTAGAATCTAAAACCATAGTTTCAACTCATCAAAAAATTCAAAAATCTAAATATATTTTAAAGAGTTTTTTTAAAGATTTTTCAAGGATTTTTAAAGAGTTTTTAAATATGTTTATAAAGAGTTTCAATTGTAGATAATTATTTGGACTAAAACTATATATATATATACGGTGTGGAGAACTGAATGGAAATGTTTTTAACTTTGGTTGAAGGATAGTATATATATTAAAAATCTAAAAAATTAATTCACATCTTAGAAACAAAATCCAGTTTTTTTTTGTACAACAACAAATAACAAATATATAGGTATGCATAAGTTTATACACCAACTTACCTCTCCTATATTAACTGTGAAGATATACGGCGTGAAGTCCCCTCCTCCAGTAGTCACATTCGACATGTCACCTTCAATAAATAAAAAACATCAAACCCATATATCTGAACTCACAATATTTTCAATATTATTTTTTATCACAAAATATATTTCTTATAAATAAAAAAAACCGGACATGGTTTTACTTCGGTTACGTTAACTTCCCTCCAAATTATATGAGAGATTTGTGACAAAATTGCCGAGGAACTAACAAAAAAAGTACTACAAGGGTTTGATTGAACGAACCACAAGAAGACATACATACAGCAGATTAGTTTTGTCCCCTCGCCGGTAACGAAACTCATAAAGTTATCATATTATAACTCTTATGATTTTATATTGTAAAGAGCCTAAAGCTTTACCTAAAACGTTGGGCAACGACGTCGGCCTATTCCTTTGTGTCCCATTCTTACTGAGGAACCTACCGCGTGCATCGCGCCCGTAAATAACACCTCTACCCCTCCTCGTGCTTCGGGAACCCTCCTCCACTGTGGCTGGAGCCGCTACGGCAGGCTGCGTGACCTGAGAGGGAGAGATGTGCCTTGAGTTCGGGGTTGAGAAGGAGATGATGTTCTCGTTTTGACCATCCATGATATTAGCTAGAGACTGAAAAAATGAGAGAGGCAATTCGAGAGAAGATAGAGATTAGATTGTGATGTGATGAATAAAATCCTTCCATTGGGTCACAGTATTTATACGGGAAATATAATGATAGTATGGACAAAAAAACTTTTTTTAGCGTTTCATAATTTGTTGCATGCATGTGCCAGTTTGTCAAAAAAATTTGTAAAAATTTAATGATTAATAAATACATTGTTTGGTACTAATAATATAAAAATATTAAAAATTACAAATTTTTGTCTACATCTAAAAAAAAAAAGTTAGTGTCTTTATACATATATCAAACTTTAATTTATGACTTCTCTAAAATTATATAGTGGTATAATAAAGAGAAATTAACTAATAATAAACTTGTTGCATTTACTTTATTTAAACTAATATAGAACTTATATAAACTTGGGTTAAAATAACAAATATGTGTTAAAGGTAATATAATTTACATAAAAAAATGGATACATTCGGATACTTTTAAGAAAGACTTTTTATTTAAATTTTATTTAAAGTATAAAAATTAGATACAATCGGATTCTCTACTTTTTAATAAAGCGTTTTTTTTTAGTTTCAAGTATTGATCAATCAGACATTTTAAATACAATTCTATCAAAGTTTATATTTATAAAAATAATCTTGGCGGCGAGTTGTTTATGTAGTATTAATAAGAGGTTGCTATAAACAGTTTAAATAATAAAGTTAAAGAGAAGTAGTTAATAACGGTTTATATACCAAAGTTAAAAGAGAAGTCGTTAACAACGGTTTATATTCCAAAGTTAAAGAGAAGTCGTTAATAACGGTTTAGATAAGAAAGTTAAAGAAATGTCGTTATAAACAGTTAAATATTAAAGTTAATGAAAAGTCGTTAAGAACGGTTTAGATACCAAAGTTTTAAAAAAATTGTTAGCAACGGTTTAAATATCAAAAGTGTCCACATTTTAAAAATTAGTTTACTAATTCCATATTCGACACTGTAAACAATTTATTATTATTTTATTTTAAAAAATTTCACATTCAAAATATTGTTTAAATTTTAACTAAAAAATATATAATCCTACTTATTTGAATACACACAAACAAAAGAAAAACAGAAATAAACAAGAAACAATCAAAACTATACATATTGGAAAGACTATCTAACTCTAACTACATATATATTCAAACCTGATGATTGATCCAACTCTAAAATGGCACACATATATAAAATATTGACATGTAGTGCTATAAAATTTCTACAAAAAGGTGAATAATGTTTGTTCAATGGATGGTAACTTGCATATATCAAATAACTTGATTTAAGAATTAAATTACAAAAAGAAACATGAACTAAATTTGGCTGAGTCAGATGATTTCATTGCCTCTGGCTTTTTTCTAACATGTTTTTTTATATATACAATAATTTTGATACAACTAACAAAAAGAAAATTAATAATGTAAAAAAAACATATATTTTTAGTAAAATTTAGGACTGTGAATTGGTGGGGATAACAAATACACTAAAAAACAAATTAGTAAAATGAGAAAAATGAAGCCAAAAAGTGACGGTTTCGTTTCAGTGGAAAGCAAAGTACACGAGTCAAAATCCTCCTACTTTTTCCCCCACTTATATATATAAAAGGTATAAACAGGAAAAAAAAAAAAACACAGAAAATATTTTTAAACAATTTTGATAACTTCAATGAATTTTTTAATTATTTTTCAAAAAGAAAGAAAACCGTTAAAACAAAAACTGCCACAATCCACAAAATGCGTATTATCACAAAACAAGTTTGTAATTTTCTCTGTCAGTCAAACCGAAGATCTGTTGTCGTAACGTAACACCTCTTTCCAAACTCAGTAACGCATAAAAAAACTTATTAACATAAAATATATATCTTTCCCCGCTCCACCTCAAATCCCAAAGTCAAAAATTTATTTTTATTTTATTTGTGTTTATAACATTAGAATTAACGACGACCAATCTCTGTAACGGTCAATTATACTAAATATTTGTTCACTTTAAGCCCATTTACCAAGGCCCAACATTATAGCTCTTACAATCATGCAGCCGAACGTTAAAAGAAGAAGTACCCATTATCAAGCCCGACCCAAGCGGTAAGAGACTTGCTAAAATGAGATATGCGCTTGTTGACCGCAAAAAGAAAAGTGTTTTGTCCCAAGTAATTTTCAGATTCAAGGAAAACATTAATCATAATATGACCCAAAACTCTTTGCTTTCCTATGGAAAACACTCTCAAACGGAACCATGTGAAATGAATGGCCACATCATAGTATTCAAAGCTGACACTCTCCGGTGGCAAATGACCTTTTTTTGTTATAACTGTTTAGGGTGGTAGATGTATCATGTATGATTAGATTGTGAATCACATTTTTTGAAAACCATCAATATATGAACTAAGATAATTGTTTTAAGTAGGAATAAACACAAAAAGAAAACTAAGACTGTAGATTTTTTCATATCGAGCAACCAACAATTTTAAAACTTTGATTAATATATGTATAAGAATGGAGATGTAAAAAATTTACTATGACCAGCCAAGATGGGAAAATCACAAACGCCAATTGCGCCTATCATTCCTCCTTTTAGTAATGATTTTTTACTTTTTAGAAATTAGTTAAGTGGGTCTCTCAAAAATGTCGGGTTGGTAAAAATTATACATATAAGAAGCAAAGCTGACTTTGTTTTCCAAACAATATCATCAACTGGTCGTATCGTACCAATCATGGCTCCACCATGTTATTTGTAATTCTTTGTCGGCACATTACCAAAAACACTCTAACTTAATAAAGCATACTATTTTCATACTCTAGATCTCGAGAAATTGTTGGTTTTATCGACTCACGTATATGAATTATACCAAAGATTTGTAATTCTCTGTAATAAAAAAATAAATCTGCAAGCTTGGCTTCACAATACATGTCAGAAATCTTGGTGTAAAGAGAAAGCTAAAATGTTCTAAATTCCTGAGAAATGTTCTAAATTCCTGTTAACTCATATAATGTTATCTAAATAGAGAAACGAAATGCACCAAACAAACTTTATTTATGCTCTATTGTAAAAGAGACACAAGTTAAAAGCAAATACAGTGACCAACTTTTTCAAAGTTTGGGTAAACTTTTTTGAGGGAGAGTAGGGTTATGTTCACCCACACCATGGAGTGGAAAACAGCAATCATTCATCCACACAACCACCACCATTCCTACCTTTTTCACCTTTTTTGTTACTCATGATTTACCTCCATCATCCTTCTTCTGTACTTCTTATTAGATCTAAAAATCTGATTATAGAACATTTGAGTTGATACAATTTGATAAGTATAAGCGATTACTCGAACAAATCCTTATGTTTTGTATGCAATTTTAACATATGTAGGAACGTACATTATTCTTCATGAGTTCTGTTCCTAATCACTGCTATGTACGTAACTTTTGTTTTTCACTTTATTCAGTTTTTGTTTTATCTCTTTTTTTCCCCTTCGTTTCTGGACTCACACTTCTGACACTGCCTGCATTCAAAAAAACATAACAGACCATTAAAAATACTAAAAGAAAAGAAAAAATTAAAGAAAAAGAGCAAAGATTCGACAATTTTGTCGTTATTACCAATCTCTGTTTTTACAAAATGAGACATATCTCTCTTCACACTCACTCTTCTCTTTCCCGCTCATCCCATCAGCCATGTCTGTCAAAACGCTTCCTTTTCTCCTCCTCATCCTTCTTCTCCAGCTCTCAGTCTCATTCTCTCAAAACGACACTATCGCACTCACACTCTTCCGCCTCCAAACCGACACACACGGCAACCTCGCACGAAACTGGTCTGGCTCCGACGCTTGTTCCTCCTCATGGCAAGGCGTTTCTTGCTCACCGTCTTCACACCGCGTCACCGAACTCTCTCTCCCTTCTCTCTCCTTACGAGGACCTTTAACCTCTCTCTCCTCCTTAGACCAGCTCCGTTTCCTTGACCTCCACGATAACAGACTCAACGGCTCCGTTTCACCTCTCACCAACTGTACTAACCTCAGACTCGTTTATCTCTCCGGTAATGATCTCTCAGGCGAGATACCTAAAGACGTCTCATCTCTTAAACGAATGATACGTCTTGATCTCTCTGATAACAACATCCGCGGAGTTATACCCAGAGAGATTCTCGAGTTTACCCGGATTTTAACGATCCGGCTCCAGAACAATGAGTTAACCGGTCGGATCCCGGATTTTTCTCAGATGAACTCACTTCTTGAATTGAACGTTTCGTTCAATGAGTTGCACGGGAACGTCTCCGACGGTGTGCTGAAGAAATTTGGAGAATTGAGCTTTTCCGGCAACGAGGGGTTATGCGGGTCGGATCCTTTACCGGTTTGTACTTTCACAAACGACCCGGAATCTTCCAATACCGATCAGATTGTTCCGTCGAACCCTACTTCGATCCCGCATTCTTCGGTTACCGCTGCAGAGCCGAAAATTCACGGTCACAAAGGGGTTAAACCGGGAATAATTGCCGCGGTTATTGGTGGTTGTGTGGCGGTTGTTGTTCTGGTATCATTCGGTTTTGCTTTCTGCTGTGGAAGATTAGACCGGGGCGGTGTAGGATCAAAAATGGGAAGTGTAGAGAGTGGTTTAGTCGGAGGAGGAGAAGGGAAGAGACGAAGCAGTTACGGCGAAGGAGGAGAGAGTGATGCGACGTCAGCGACGGATAGGAGTAGGCTTGTGTTTTTCGAGAGGAGGAAACAATTCGAGCTTGAGGATTTGTTGAAAGCATCAGCGGAGATGCTTGGGAAAGGAAGTTTAGGGACGGTGTACAAGGCGGTGCTAGACGACGGTACGACGACTGTGGCGGTGAAGAGGCTTAAAGATGCGAATCCTTGTCCGAGGAAAGAGTTTGAGCAGTATATGGAGATTATTGGTAGGCTTAAACACCAAAACGTTGTTAAGCTCAGAGCTTATTACTATGCTAAAGAAGAGAAGCTCTTAGTTTATGAGTATCTCCCCAATGGAAGCTTACACTCTCTTCTTCATGGTAAAACAGCTTTGAATTGTCAAATTTTTATC